ATCCGTGAATGGAACGTAGGGAAAAGAGCGCTTTTTCATAGCCTCTACAGCACCTCTACAGCAAAGCCAACTAATACCTCTGCTAGTACTTATTGAGTATTGCGAGCCCAGCATATTTTCCATTTGTTTCTTTGTTTCAGGATTATCCACCATGGTGGTGGTTTGCTTTGAGTAGAGTGCCTTGTTTGAGTATTATCTAGTGATCTAAGGATTGAAAAGCTGATAGAACTGTTAATACTATTAAATCCGAAAGGAATAGGCTAATAGTGTCCGAAGAGTACAAGGAATTACTTGCTCTGCTGAGGTTAATAGGAAGTCGGTCATGGGATTCATTACAAATCTCTGCCAACAGGATGCAAGTTCTACAATTCTAAAAGGAGGGCGAACTTCTGAAACGTGATTTCCCCGATTATCATCGTCCACGCAAATATTTCAAGCAAGGAACTGATTGAATAAGTGGGATGGCGTAGGCCAAGACACGAAGGTGTCCTCACTGTATCGCTATCGTTTGTGCTGCCACACTTGAGCTGTTGTTTTTAAAAATTTACATTTCTTCACCTGTGCTGAGATATGAGCAAAACTCGAAACCTCAACTGCTCTTCAAATCTGAGAAAAACATAACACGTTAACTCTCGGAAGGGATAGTCGTAGGCTCGAATCTCGGCTGGGATTCAGATTTTTCTTGCCATGAGAAAAATAGCCGAAAGTAAATAGAAGTTAATTATTTTGCTTACAATTTTTAAATGGTTTTAATTCTTTAGAATTCTAGAGATGGTATACGCGTTTCGGTGGCGTAAAGCACCTACTATAAGTCTACAATTCACTTTCTAATAATCGAAAATTGATCACTAGTTATAAAAAGGCTCGTCCAGTCCAGAAATGCGTTGAAATGTGTTTAGCTGTCTTTGAAATTACACTTCACATTAAAGACCATACTGAATGTGTTCAAATTTCTTGAAGTTTTTTTGAAATTACACTATGCGTTAAAAAAAGGGTTACGGAGCCAAGAAGATGACGCAATCTTGCAAACCCTAAAGTGACGACAAACATTCTTATAGCCGATGCAATGTTTACAAAAGGTATACTTGTGGAAATAACTTGTTTTCATTGATAGCGTTCGTCAACTGCTTCTCTACTTAGAATGAAAGCGTTTCACTATTCTGCTAAGGAAAAAGTGCGAGTTTTTGAGAAAACCATGAACAAATAGAGATTTGTTTGAAAATCTACAACGTACTTTACTTCGCCGTATACTGTAGAACACAATGGGTTTAAGGTTTTCCATACAAAATATTTCGACCAGTTCAAAAAAATCTGCTTGCTGATATGACTCTCTGCTTATTAAGAAAATAGATTACAAAAGACTTAGTGCTCTAAATTTCATAGAGGTATTCACATTTCCCCATTTATTTATAAATCTCCCCTCAACGGTTTAGCCACTCATCGTGGCTAGGAGCTGGTCCTGGGTATCGGGCTGCGAGGTACAGCGGCGGATTCGTCCTCCCGGCAGGGTCTCTCGCACGGTGGCAAATGTCCCTCTGATCCACAAGGAAGGCGGCTTCCTATGGTGGTAACGACCTGTGTCAGACTTTGGCTAGGCTGAGCTCGGGACTCTAGGGAACCCCAATGGATAGACCAGCAAAACTCCGAAAAAATGGAAATTATGCTGAGGATACCATCGGTCTGAATCACTATGTTGCTTACTACAAGTGGTTCGTGCAGCACAATTCTGTGTCAAGAGCCAAATGATTGACCGAGTATCGAAATCGTAGCATTGAAGAATCTTAAGCCAGGTATGCCTTTCACGATTGCTTCCTCAACGACGCTTTAGTATTTTCCTCAAAACGCTGTCTCTCTCTTCTTGAATTTAGAACTTTCCGTTAGTTTGTTTTCCTAGTACTCGTGTACAAACATCCGCCGGTCGGTTTCATTGTTTACATCACGTTCTTGAATGTGCCATTGAACAGTCATGCCAGGATGGTTTTTCTGGTGGTACTGTAGTTTTTACAACTGGCAGTAAATAGTTCAGAATCATTTTCAAAACCCAACTATTTGCTTCAATGTTCTGTCAGTTTTGTTAAGAACTGCTGGAGATAATCAGTTGTAGACGATAGGCAGCAATCGACTTGGTACACAGTTCTCGATAGTGTTTTTTAACTTCTTCTGAGGGAAATAATCATTCTGACTTTTCCTCCATTTCCAAGCGTTTATCTTCGCAGAACATGGTAGAAAGGATAAAACAGTGCGATGATATGCTCTTTAGATGTAGAACTCTATCAGAACTGGCATCTACTGCCCACTCACAAAGTGCTCTATTACATACTAAAAAGTAGAGGTTTTAGAACAGCATATGCCTTTTTCATAAAACGTTTTCGAAGTAGATGGAGAAATCGTTGCTCAAGGCATGGTCTGTCTCTTCAGATGCCATGACTGTTTTGCCACGACTCCAGAGAATGCCTATTTTCTTTCTGTTATGGGACAAATATCTTCGAACATTATGATTTTGTTCGTAAGCCCAATATCTTCACTTAGTTTTGCACTCGTTCGCTTTCTACTGTCTTCTTTACGGTGAGCTTGGCTACAGAAGCTTTACAACTTTGCAATCGGTGTACGTTAGTTGTTTATAATGTACACCTATCATGTTTTTGTGAGCGCCTTTAGCCGTTTTCTTTTCATATTTTGGGAAAACGATATTGTTGGAGAGCACGATATTCTGATTCCGTATTGAAGATCACGACCATATCCCACCTAAGCCCTTTCGAATAATCACGATGAGTTCAGTCGCATTGTGCATTCTCCAGAGCCTGCATGACGAACTTTTCTACTCCTTTCGATATGAAGTGTGAGCCTCATTATCTGTTTCCTCACCACGAAGGCCCACAATCGGTACCTTGGCACATATGTATTGGTCGTCTCGACCATTGGAATAGTCAGCAAATACTTTTGCCACTTCGCCCAGAACGACATCCCACATATAACTTCACCCACAAACATCTTTCTCTCTGCTGGTCCAATTGAAGAGAATATGTTCGTGTCAACATCACAGGTACATCTACCGAAACCGTCAAGAGTAGAATCGCAGGTGTTAGACCGAACGATACATAGGTGTCAAAATAGTTGAATAGTTGGTTCTCTTCAGATTCTACTTCAGATTTCCTAAGAAGACAAATGGGATCAAATTGATGCGTTTTCAACGAGATATCTTCTGTGAACAACTTCATTGCTCTTCTTGTTTCGATAACACCTGTTTTGTTCATATTTACTTAAAGACCGAAGCCATCGAATATCCTCGCAAGTCAAATATGCTGCAGCACCAGCCCGTTTTGACAGTTGCGAAGACCAACGCCACAACGGTCTCAAACTTGGGTGACTAAGCCATTTTATTCTCTGTGGTCCACTGGTGATATTTCTCGAGCATTCTCATTGAGTCACTCTTGGCATGGGTTTCTTCAGGACTCCAAAGTTACCCCAACCAATAAAATTATTATTCTGGTAGAGATTATGGGAAGCTTAATTCATGGAAAGGAAAAGGACGTCACTCTGGGTAACTATGGAGATATGATTACAAAAACACCTAACTAAGGATCAATATAAACCGGATTTAGCCTATATTTCTCGATGATGGGGTAAAATATACAAAATATGTCACAGTTAGAGGTATATGTGAACGCAAATGACCGATGTGAAGCAGCGATGCAACAGTTCAACACGCTGAAGGCTCTGACTTGGTCCTTAGGTCAATCAATCCTTTATTATTCATAGATCGTAAAACTGTTACCAGGCTTCTTCAGGAAGCTTCATGTGATCAACAAAGGCTGGCGAATACCTCTAGAGAAGACTAGAGATTTACGCAGCACAGTCGTCCAAGGATTCGATGGAGAATCTACTCCATCACCATTCACTCATAAAAAACACGAAAATCCTCAAATAAGAGCCGAACCTATAAAAAAACCCGCTAAAATTGATGAATAATGAATGCGGTTGAACTAATCGAGTGCTGGAATTGGTGTGATCTTCACAAAGCACTATGTGGAGCGTTGCGAAAAAAATTCTTATGCTCGCGCAAAAGTCCAAAGAATCAACGTTTATCCCTCTGACTTTCGAATTTTTTCCCACATTTTACGAACTTCTAACTCATTCAAGTTCCAAACAGGCGTTACATCGCTATCTTAACCACTTCATTATTTAAAGGAAAACATGGAGCTGGAAATGCAACTCAATACACCCATGGTCGATGGTTCGACCCAGCACCACTAAGGCAAGCCTCTCGAACCGCTGGAATTGGCAACTTAATATTAAATTTCTATGGGAAAAGCTCCCGCTATTCCATGAAATCTGATGATAACCTATGATAACTACGTAGAAACTAACTCGGATAGCTGCAAGGACTATATTAAGGATAAATTCAATCAGCACTCAACACAACTCATTAAGGAGGCAAAATGCTGAAGCGCCAGCCGAAGCTATATTCAAGACTGGAGTTCTTCACATATGATGGATGCAAGACAATGAACCGAAGGAACGCGCTGTCGAGATCCGCACATGTGAACATAGGATTGCCTATACCAGCTTCAGCAATATTTCAAGACTCACTTGTTATGCAAAAGTAATAAGGAATAAAAACTGTACAATAAAAATTAAAACAATTAAACAATGAAGGCTGCATTAACGCTCAAGTATTGAATTCTATTACACTGCACTTACACACAACAAAGCTAGGCGAAATTGAGAGCCTACCGCGACTTCTGAATACAAGGTATAAAATCTTTACATCCATAAATTTGTAAAATTAAGGAAGTGATCACGTGACGATACAACTATTCCTCCTATAGTCTGCGTTACGTTCTTCTACAATGTAAATTTCAGAAGAAACATAATCCCAGCCGATATCAAAGCTGAAAGATATTATATAACCTCCTAGACTTTAAAATTGTGATAAAGAAGAAGAAAACAAAGTATTTTTAAAAATGCAAGTTACGTCTGTTAAGGAAACGGTAGAAAAATCAGTACTGACTTGATGCGGGTAATGTTGAAAGCCAGGTAATAACGATGTTCCGAAACACCGTCCAGTTGACACCTTCACCTGATCTCACACTTCCAACAAACACCACGGACCCGACCTGAGAAATAAGCAGGAACCCTTCGTAGGTAAACAAGCCCTTTTCGATAATAAGAGACAATAAAGCTCTTCTGGTGTCAATAAAATCAATGGCATACCACTTTTCCCACATTTGAACAAAAAGACTAACTATAAGGTTCTTAGTAATGACAAATCATATTGTGTTTCGTTTCAGTTGAACATACATGTTCTTTTAGTGATGGTTTGCTCACCAGTGTAAGGAAAAAACTGGTGAATGATCTTCGGAAGTGAGCGCTGCAGTTACCGCGCAAAACAATGCAATATAAACGGATGACTTTTACCTTTATTATAATATATACAATCCTACCAGGCACTGTGTAGTACTAATTGGCAGTCCGAATTTGCTCGCAATCAAAGTCGTCATCGCAGCACCGAATTCAATGGTGAAACCACTGGAATAATAAAGCGTACAACACCCAGTAAACACCAATCAGTATCTATTTGTTAAACTTCAGTCCAGTATTCATAACTAAGGAATAAGTGCACCTTGCCGGATTGATATGGGAAACCCTGCTGCCGACAGTGCTTATGATTCGGTAACCGAGTGTCCACAAACCGATACAGATCGCCACAACACCATAGAGCAGCACATAGATAGGAACCTGATGATCAACACATTATCCAACAGTCTAACTGTTCTCAAAACATTGCTCTGCGAAAATATCAGCAGAGTGGGCGACATGGTGCTTTTATCGTATAGTATTATTTTATCACACTATACCAAAGCATCCTTTTGGAAGCTACCACACATATATTAATTTCTGTCCTCTTCACTTGACTAATATCACTTTTCCTTCTCATGAACCTGCAGCACATTTTGCTTAGTAGGTTAATCTCTTCCATATATGGTGAAATCTACCACTATTGCTCAGTGATTTAAAACTTCTGTCAAAATGAGAGAGGAGGTGCTGCTTAATTTGAAACGCAGACACGCTCGTACATCTTTTCAATAGTCAACTTTGACGTTGCTTTCACCCTGAAAATCCATTCAGGCGCTTTCATCGTCTTGTTAATTTTTTGTCCAAGGATGAGTAATCTACGGGACATGTATATTCTGCATGATGAAGACGACATATGTGTCAGCTTTCTATGCTGTAAAGGACATCTTTATGATATATGTGATGATTACATTTCAGAAGGTAACAGTCTCATTATTCCTTGAATTGTGCGCAGAACCGTCAGCAACATTTCACCCCGCGTGCACTCTATACGTCTGGTTTCCTTCACTAAGTGGAAGACACACAAAAAATATTTTGGGTGTTTTAAAGTAGCTGTTTACCATTCGATTAAAAAACGAGGTCTTGAGTTTATCCTCAAGGGATACGAGAGTAGATGACTGAAACTTGAATAAAACAATATCAGAGTGAAAGTAGACGGTTAGCAGGTACACCGCTTTCGCATTGTCTATTGTTCATTTGTTCATTTCGCACTTGACTACATCATTTTTATGAGGGCGCAGGTGGCGCAGTGCTCGGAGGCGCCCTGTGACCTGCACATAGGATCGATCCCCGTGCCGGTAGCCCACTAAGCCTTCTATCTCTCCGGGGTCAGCAAACTGATACAAGAGTTGTCTGGGAGGATAGCAGCACTGGCTCGATACACTGGTAGGCCACTCTGAGTCATTGTAAAGGTCGGATATGCGTTCAATCACCTCCAACGATGCTTAATGAAGTTGAATGTATGCCGCACCCCTCAGGGATTGATCAACGCCGGGAGCTATATATTTTACCATTTTTATGAGATGAACTATCAGCCACACGGCAGAAATTTTGCCGATTTCGACGCATTTGTTGAAAAATTCATCTTCAGTTGAGCTCCAAGAGAATGCGCTAAACAGATTTGTTCTTTCTGCTTGCATTCGCATTTGGTGAAACGACTACCTAAATACTTATGCCCCAACTGTTTGGATCCGCGGCAGCAAATTTCTTGCAAAATCTTGTAAGATTAACGAAGACCTAGTAAAGCGGAGAGAGAATATCTGTGATACGTCTAAATTTTCAACTATACCATTCTTTCCGCCTTAATTAACGCTAAGTATAACTGACCACTAAGTGAGACTGTGCTATCAAGAAAATAACGCTTGGGCTACCTCATATCAAGAAAGTAAAAAATAGAATCCAAGTTTTCGACCAAAAAAATCCATCAAACCGAATATATCTTAATGTGAACCTGCAGCACATGACTACTGGATTATACAGGATGCCAGGCACAGGAGAAAGACTACGTAACGAGACTCTTCCGCGAAAATTCCGAGAGGAAAAAATTGTGGTCATTGCGCGTCCTTCGAAAAGGCAGAACCAAGTGGAAATTTTTCATCGTAAGACATGGACCAATTACGATTCTGATTCCATAAGATAGTAACGAACTGGATAGGACAAAGTTTCCACACCGTATTTTAGTCTTTTTGCTTTGATTAAGAAGCCATGATGCTCAACGATGCTTAAAATATGCTCATCGGCAACTTTGCTGCTTGGTGTCATTGACGGCAAAACCCAGCGTGCTGGAAGGACTGTTCTTTTGTTTCAGGTTTTTCGTGCAGATCATAAGAGAACCGAAGCAGAATCGTCATCGAAGACGTACATCGTTTTTGATTTGAAAAAGAGTACTCGCCTGGAGAAAAGATTCTCCTACAGATTCACTATCAACCAAATTTCTGGAATCGTTCGCAGCTTGGGTGATTTTCCTTTGCAACGCTTGATGCAATTTAGAAGCAATCTCCACTATTAGGGCGCTAAACGTGGTCGAGATAGGTGATTTTAGTGCCTTGGTAATATTCACGTGATTTAGTTATTCTTTCACTAGAAAGTGAGACGACGTATAAACAAGGTTATCTATTTGAATGAATTTTCGGTTCTAAATTCTCTTATAAACGCTAACTTAGCCAATGAGCATAATATTTGCCCATAAGCCACTAATTGCCTGCTACTGCGTAACGCATCTGGAACCGGAATCCAATGTATTCGAACAAATCTACGAGGATCGAAATGCAATTGCTACCAGGTGAAGATTATGAAAATATACAAGCGAAAAATTCAATTATGAGGACAAAGTAAAAATAAGCCTCATCGTTAGTTAATTTTTCGCCTTAAAAACTTAGGATGGAACTACATTTAACTAAAGCATCTCATACTTACCTCGGCGTCTTGCTTAGCACTCTTGTCTTTATAGATCGCAACCAAAGTGGCTACCGGAGCAATCACATTGCTTAACGAAACTTCATAGGTCTTGAAACTAAGAAACTAACGAATCAATATAAACAGTAACATAAAACATAGTGTAATAAGCATGACGAAAATTAGATATAACGCTCTCTGAGCAGCTCAAATAGAACACCGTAGTGTAATAGAAATGTGCAGAACTCCGTAGGCGATAAGCCAAAATTGTTCTGATCAAGGCTGACAATCGCTAGCATCCCCACCATGTTTATTACAGCGCATAATAGCAGGCTGCATTTTTCCTACATGGACGTCACTCTGTAGAACAATACAGAAGAATTTGTTAAATGGTTCTCACCTGACATCGTTCGCACCAGTAGCAAACCCAGCAAAACATGCCGTGAAGACCTGAATTGAACTGAACAACTGTACTGTCTTCTCGTCATCTATTCTTGTCACATCCGGTAACAACCATTTGATGATTGAACGAAGTCCTGAGTAGCTACTAACCTCATTACATCCAATAACTGACAAAATTAAGCAGATAAATTTGTTTTTAAAAAAAATCCTTAAAGTAAACGAATTGCTGCGAGAATGACAGTATTTGGTGCGAGATATTCATTTTACTAATGCTAGTGATGCAGCCTGTTGCGCATGTAGGATACTCGTACCAACGACCCAGGGGCCTACCATACCTCCACCTTTGAGATGCCTGTGCTAGACATGTCTTCAAAAACCTCATCTGATCCACAAGGAAGACTGGCGGCACCCCCTGTGGGAAAGCCCTGGAAACGCTGTAGCAAGGCTATCCTTAGCAAGGATTATCAAAACGCTAGGGCTGACATCCATCGACTGCTTTATGCTTAAGTTAAAAAGACCTTTTACCGTGCAATGAGGCAACACTACGAAAACAGCATTGCCTTGTTTCGCAGTCTTGATTATAAACGAATATAAAGCACTTTAGTTGCTCAAGCTCCTATCCCATCTATCTAGAGTTGGAAAACTGAGACAGAACTGTTCTGAGATGATAAAAACACGGACTTTTTACACTAACAGGTACCTGTCGATCAGTAGAAGCTAAATAAGCATTCAACCACCTCTGTGACACTTAAAAAGACGAATGTGCAAGTGTTCCTGAAGAATTTACCAAAACCGGATGCTTTGTCCTTTATTACAATGTTAGGGTCGGGTGCTCCTCCACCACGACATCACACAAATCTTCGTTGGATCAATAATAATTGAAAGCTGTTCCTTATTCGCATCTGTTTCTGGTCTTAGCTATGAGAAGCAAACAAAAGACACGACTCGTTCTCTGTAGAAACTTACTAAATAGTACTTTTTGTTAAAAAGAAAGACACACCTGAGAGCACGCTATCGCTTCCACTAAATTCACTGACTTTGGTCGGTGTATTCAGTTGAACGGTCTTAAATGAGGATTGACGAACAGCGTCGATTTCAACCACTGTTGACGCTGAAAGTTGATTTACTATTTGTCCTAAGTAGAGTGGAAAATTAAGAGTAAAATGAAAAAATTAAGGAAAAAACGATTCGAGAACCTTCACATTGAATTTTTCGCCAGAGTCTTGGCTTCACCACAAGCTGTACCAACAGAGCAGATATTGCACCAGCTGTGATTGAAATTAGTACAACTCCATAGAATGGGATTTTGTTGAAATGAAGCACTAGGAAAGAAATGAGGAACTCGGATGCCATTATTAGTGAATTCTATTTGAATTCGTTCAACTGTCACCCTAAGGGAAACTCAAGTCGCTGATGCAAAAATCATAGAATAAACAGCAGCACCCAACTCTAATAAACCTACGCAACAATTTCTTATAGAAGCTGATATAAATTCTTTTATGAAATATAACTTCAATGATGCTGAGGTATTTGCAAAACTCCGGACCGCAGGTGTATACGGTGGGGAACGAACGCGCTATTGTCCTTTCCGGGGACCAGCGCGTTCACCACCACCCCATGCGGGTACTTCGTTTCGCCTGACTCTCAGCTAATTCTATCGATCTTTTGCCAACAGCAATTGCCTTTTATGAAGCCTAAAAATGAGAAGATAAACGCTCCAGTGAGCACATGAAAAACCTTTTTTCTTGTATTATCGAACATTTCTACATTTTCCCTCCACAGACTTGTGATAGATTTTTGAAAAAAAAGTCAAAATAATAATAAAAGCAATGTCGTAACTTTTATTTACTGCCCACTTTTTTCAATGGCAGAGTGTTACTTGTGCTGCCCAGATCAATCCCTTCCACGGATAATTGCTGATAGCCCCTATAGGTCAACAACACTGATGAGAGAAAGGTGAAACGAAGGACTCGCATGGTGTGGTGGTGAACGCGTTAGCCACCGGAAAGGGTAGTAGTGTTTTCGGACCCCACCACAGACACAAGCGGTCCGGAGCTTTGAAAATATCTCAGCATCATGATGCTAATAGAAACAGTATTAATAAGAAGAAATCATACGGTTTGATCCGTCCCATGTTACCACTAATACATTGAAAGCAATAACAAAAAAATAAAAAATAGGCAACGATCGTAAGCCACACTCGAATGGATGATTCTGAAAAGAAACAATTACTGGGATATTCCTGTCCTTCTCTCTTTCGCGTTTCTATCATTTTCTAACTTTTAAAACACTTTTTAAAATTTGTTCACAGTTGTTTTGAAAAATTAATCTTAGACGGAGAGGTCGATAATGACAAAGTGAAATTAAAGGATTAAGTAACCTACCCTTCTTAAGACGACAATATCGACGATAATATAAAGAATAATCGAAATGATACCGGAAAGCACTGGCGAAAGAAACCACGAAACTACTGCAAGAAAATTGGATAACTCTCGAGAAACCCACAAGTGCAAACTTGATGCATTGGTCAATTAGAGACAAGTAGCAATCTGTTTTTCTTGGAGTCAAATTTTTTCAAGGATAAAGATATTTTTATCATCAAGGACGGACTGGTTTCGTATGCTCTACTCACTCTCAGCAGATTGAATATATACGAATGCTCTAACTATGTCTGTCTAGGTCGTGAAATCAACTTGTTGAACAACTTAGCTCCAGATATGAGCTGAAGGAAACGAGCGGCTTGGGGAGCTTTCGAGAGCATCGAAGATGTAGTGAGAAAAACAAAGAACACCCGACTCTGTGCCCACCTTTTCGCCTCAGCAGTACTCCCTGCCCTAATGTATGCGTCAAGCAAGCAGGATGAAAGGTCACTCAGCGTTATTGAACACACAGTCGAAAGGACGATGCTAGGAGTATCTTGTGTCACATGAATAAGGGAAGGGATTCAAAGCGTCAACGATCAAAAATCAAAGATGCTGCTCTATATGCTAAACTGCCGAGGATAAGATGGACCGGACAAGTAATGCGTATGAACGACAATCAATAGACAAGAGCCGTTAGTGATAGGATTCCTCGGGAACGTACTGTAGCGAGACCACCGATCCGACGGTCGGAGCTCTTCACGAAAAACCTATGAGAAGGATATGTTGCTCAATGACTTCTTGAAGCCAGCAGAACCCCCTAGGCTACTTTTGCACGCAGCAGGGAAAAATAGAAGATTTACTGGCACCCGTCCGAGTCGCTTGACGATCAGCGGAATGAGAGGTGAAACAGGTGAACGATTTTTTAAATGGATATTTTAAAAATTTTTACATCTTTTAATCAAAATTCCGCACGCCACTCCAATTAATATTAAACACTGACTTATCTTGAGGATTTCATCCCAGTTCACTCCTTCCGTTCCACGCAGTACCAGAGAGAAACCCAACGTTGATCCCATCAAAGCATGTGTAGTCGACACCGGCATTTGGACTGCTGTGGTTATTCCCAGCCAGGCAGCTGTCCCTGAATTATCGATTTTTAGCTTCAAGATCTCTAAGAACTCAAGGTGAAATAAAGAGAGAAAACTTAGTGGAATGATACTAGGTATAGGTAATGATACTATACTGATAATGATACTTAGTGGAAACCTCTTCGTTTTTTCGGCGAAACGGGTAGACCCCTCTGTGTCCGCATGAAAGAACACCTAGCCGGCAAAAATAGACCAAATACCCCGCTAGGCACGCATAGGACCCAGAGACATAACGGGGACGACTTCGAAGTATGTGTCACGATCCTCGCACGCGAATCAAGAACACAGGCGCGAAAAACTCTCGAGGCACTCTGGATTAATTCCAGAAATCCGAAAATGAACCGCAGGGAAGAATGCCTCATTATCACGCGTGATATAGGGCAGTATATAAGACTGCTATTCTGATGGGAGGGGCATGTTATACTTCCATGTGAATTCTGTGCGGTTGGTCTCTACGTGACATACTTAGTGGAAACCTCATAGAAAGCGGTGAGTGTGCAAAGCTGTGTTCAAAGTGATTGAAATTTTGGTCTGGGGTTTCTTTGTTTGGTAATGGAGGCGTCTGGCCGAGTAGATTGCTATCAACTTGACCTTTCCAGGCTCTGAAGAAGGCGAAATCCGCCGAAACGTCAGCTTAATCGTGAACAAAGAATAATAACACCTCGCGTTTGCTCAACAAAAATACGAAGAAAATCACTTGATCAATGCCGAGGTTAATAGAAATAAAGAGAATTATTTCGAAACCGACTTTCCCTGAACATCGGTATCACTAATCAATATGTATTCTTTCTTTGATGAACTTACGCGAGGTTGATAACAATGTTTACTTTCGGCTAACGTTTCGACGTCTTCGTCTTCCTCAGAGCCGATGATCCGAGTCGAATAACAATAATAATAACAATTACAATAATAACATTACGAATAACAAGCGAGGACCATCGACTCGGATCATCGGCTCTGAGGAAGACGAAGACGTCGAAACGTTAGCCGAAAATAAACATCATTATCAACCTCGCGTAAGCTCATCAAAGAAAGAATACAAAGAGAATTATGTTTTCGCTCTGATCGACCCTTTAGGGATCCGTAATGGATTGAACTCCGTTAAGGATGGTAGACATCATTGAGTTCATGTTTGGCCTGTACAACTACCTAGGGGCATTCCGATCTATCAAACCAGTACTTTTATACTTTTTGAAACAACTCTTCTACCAGTATTCTAATCCAAAAGAACAGAGTGCTTGTTTTGGCCGGTGCAATAAATCGAACCAAAGATCTGGTATGTGTTGTAGGATGCCAGTAGTTATTGCGCTACTCCGGCATTGTATTATAGAGAAAATGCTGGTGGATTATGACGAAACCGAGTGGACACTACTTTAAAGAGCTGTCAAAAGTAACTAAAGACACTGAAAAAAATCTAAATTGCATAACTGACCGCCAAGGATGGCTACCTGTCCTAGCATGAGTTCGTCAGGGTGCCGAAGGTATTCCGTAACATCCACGACTCCTTTCCTCATCATATCCGTAACGGACCAACCTGAAACCTTTAAGAAGGAACTGCCGTGCAGAAAAAGAGGTGTGATCGCTAGGAAAAAAGACCAGACCAATGTGTTTTATTGTGAAGGATTCGTCTGGACTACAGGAATGCTAATTTTTGACTTACCTATCAGTATCGATCCCAACGTGATAAATATACTAGCCAATGTGTAAGCCTGAAAATTCTATGTTGTCACTAGTGTGAGAAAATGCAGAACAAGATTATATACATAATTCCCTTAGTGAAATTCTATTTTCGCTATCAATGTCCACTTTTTTCCCTTGACCCGTCTTCACATATGCTGTGCGAAGCCAGCACTTCTTGCATTCGATTCGTTTTTTCGCATCCATCAACTATGAAGGTCTTCGAATTTTTTGCACGTTCGTTCGGTCGCTACATAAGGAGTTTTCGTCTTCTTTATGAATGTCATTGAATGCTTGTCCATTCTTGCTATCCGAAAGTCTAACCCGTGATAGCAGTGTCAAGCGTTTTTAGGTCTTTCAGATAGATGTGAGGTTCTCAGGCAAACCTGGCATCACTTCCTCGACCTCGAAAAGATGGAATGATTGGTTTGCCTAGGGCGAGGTCGAACCAGTGCCTAGCGCCAATTCAACGGCATTATGTCCAATACTTCGCGAAAATTGTAAACCAAGAACGACAATCTAAAAATTACATTTTATCCCTACAGGAGAATTTCATGGATCTTTAGAAAAAGGAGCACGCGAGCTAAACCGAGACGTGACCACTAGTTCGATGTGAGCGCGACTTCCCAGTATAATGCCTCCCATATCTTTATGAAAGCCTGACTTTCCTCACTTAAAATGAAGAAGTAGAAGATATGAGGAGGAGTGCCTGGGACCTTCACTGTCAGCCATCAAAAGATACCGTGCTGTAACATCACCGGTAATTTCCAGTGTGCGAACCACGCGCAGTTCCTTCGCGGTAGTCTCCATCCGCCGCTACCACTTACGCGACGACGTTACCTCTACAGGAGTCATTTGTTAAGGTTCAAAGCGGCCGTTATGACGTCTATAGGAGCCATCTTGTCTTCGGCGGTTAATTTTGACGAAATAGAACTGTTTTCCTGCACTCCTTTTGATCGCTCGATTGCTTATTCAACGTAGCTGTTGTAGCGTAGTCATCCGGGAAAGGCTCTATTCTGTGCTTGAGAATGTACAAAAACCTTTTCTCGAACGGTGCAAAACACCTCCAAATGCTAACAATAATGTGCTAATATGACATACCATAGTAACACATATACCATTTGTACCCATAGAACAATAGAGAAAAGTCTGTCCTATATTTCTGTGATATTCCCAGTCCGTGAAATCTAGTTACCGAAATATTAACGTCTATTATCAAAAACCAGCAGGCCCGTAAAAACCCGAAATTATATCCCGTCCATTGCGGCAATCAATCAAACATAGGCGGCGCTCCGTTACTGTTATGTACTAGAAGTTTCTCCAGTGCCGTTTTCACAATCAAATTCAGAACGATTATCTCGAAGTTTTGAACTTATTATATTATAGCCGCAATAATTTGCCGTTTTCTTCATAAGCAGAAACGAGGTTGTTAGTTTAGTCTTTATTAACAAAAGAGCTGAAGCTGCAGCGAATTTCTTCTCCAGAGCCTCGAAAGGTCAAATTGACAGCAATCTAGTCAGCGAAATACCTCTATAAATTATGAGACTTGGATTTCAATCGCGTTGAAAAAAATAACTTCATCGCGCACTCACCGCTTTCTACCACGGAAACCAACTATCCAGAGTTCACATGGACTGCTAATGCGCCTCTCTCACATTAAAACATGAGTTTCAAACGTTGTATTAGGTCACGCATGATAATGAGGCATTTTTCCCTGCAGTTCATTTATGGATTCTAGGAATTTATTGGGAATGCTTCCAGCGTTTGTACGCTGAAATTTTCGACTCCTGTGAGGAGATGGTAAATTCAACTTTAAAATCTTCCACATTTTTAATCTGAGTCCTATGCGCGCCTAGTAGAGTATTTTGTTTAGCTCTACGCTTAACGTCTAGGCGTTTTCTTATATGGAGTGGTCTGTCCATTTTCGCGGATGTATTAACCCCGTACGCTTTACAAGAGATCAAGTAAACCGTCCCCGAATTACTGCAATTATCGTCTCTACCTACTATTAGGACATTTCAAGCAAATTGTATTGTACATAGACGGTCACGTAAGCGGTAACGAACTAGCTGACATTCTAGAGTGTTCAGAGGTATTTCAGTCACTATTCATCCTGCCCTTCATTTCCAACAAAGTAAGCGCAGCTATTAGGCGCTGCTCAAAAAGCGCCTTCTTGGAGAATTCAGTAGCACTGACTGAAATACCACTGACTACTCTAGAATGTCAGCTAGTTCATAATCGCTTATATGATCGCCTACGACACAGCAAACTTGTATAGAGTGTCCTAATGACAGAGAAGGTGATTGCATGAGTTCGGTCATAGTTTATCTGACCTCATGTAAAGCATGTACAAGAGCCGTTAATGACTGGATTACTCAGGACGTTAAAGCACTGCTGGAAGACTATCAACCCGATGGTCAGAGTTCTTCACGAAAAGCCTATAAGAAAGATATGACGCCCAACGAGTCCCTAGAGCGATCAGAACCCACTGGGCTACTCTTGCACGCGACAGGGAAAAATGGAAGATTTACTGGCGCCCGATGGAGTCACTCGACGATCAACGGGTCTACAGGTGATACAGGTGATACATGTCAACCATGTGGGACGAATACATTAGCTAAACGGGGAGACCACCATGTGTCCGTATGAAGGAACCACCTAGTAGGTAAGCGTAGAGCTAAAGAAAGTGCTCCACCAGGTGCGCACAGGACATAGAGACAAAACGGAAAGGATTTTGATGTAAAGTTACTATCCTCGCATAGGAATCGAAAAATTCAGCGCCCAAACTCTCGAAATATTCTTGATAAATTCCAAGCACCCAAAAATGAACTGCAGGGCAAGTGCTTTGCTTTCAGGAACGATCTCACACAATATCTCAGACTGATATTTTAATGTGAGAGAGGCACGTTTCCAATTCATGTCAATTCAGTGCGGTTGTTCTCCAGGTAACATCCTCATTGGAAGACTTATACAAAGCGGCGAGTGTGCGATAATGCTGTTTGGCTTTCAATGCAGTTGAAATCTAGGTTTCTTGATTTTTCTGCTTCGGTTATAGAGGCCCTTGGTTGGCTAGGTTGCAGTCAACTTCACCTTTTCCAGGCTCTGAAAAAAGCGAATTCCTCCGAAGCGTCGGCCTTTTTGTGAGTAATGAATAAAGTAACCACCTCGGATGTGCTTATGAAAAAATAGGGACTTTTTAACCAACGCCGAGGCTGACCGAAATTCAATATTGAGATCTACAGCTGCATTTTCGAACGTAACCTTCCTAACCGTTTGATGCGGATGTAAACAGAAGCAAAATTTATAACTACTTTGAAGTCCATTGTTCCTCTACAAATGAGCTTTTATTTCATTCAAAAGCAAAAATCTATCGAAAACGCTAAGATGCCCTTTTTTAAACGCCATAGACCAGAGAAAGAGATAAGAGATAGAATTCTAGAATATCCGAAAAATCCTATCGCTGAGTATTTTAGCAGAAGGGCATGACAAGAATTTTAGTTGAAAGAGTCTTGGTAGTCTCAATGCTCAGCATTTTCTTTGAATCTCCAATTCTGCCTGAAATCAATATCGGAGCTTCAAATTATTCATTTCTATTCCTTTGCAGGAATCGTTAGTGATTTCCCAAAAGTTTCGCTTCATAAAGGCGTCATGTCATTTTTCATTCACATAGGCTTCAATTTTCAAAAATCTCTCGTGCAAAATACGAACCTGTGGTGGTGTAAGGACACCACTTCCGACAGATGTGCCAAACGTATTCGACACATCGTTAGCTCCAAGACCAATGCCGAGTGCGAAAGCCAGAACAAGGCCAACGATCAGCACCCAGAAAGCTGATGACTGAAAACACCTCCTGAATAGTTTATGGTATTGTTTACAAAATGTAAAGTGTTTAGCATGATCAATGCCTTAGGTATGCCCCAGATATCCAACTCTACTGACCATTGTGGAGGTGATTGAATGCATATTTGTCTCAATACAGTTTACAGTTTTTGTTCTATGAGACAAGTTCGTTACGAATTTTCCAACCACGTAAAGAAGAAGAGCATAATTTGCCTAAAACGAGTGTTCGAGCCAAAGACTGTTCATTATAGTACACCTCTAATCACAGCGCTACACGTACCTTTGATTACCGCTGGTACCCAACAAATTATTTGCAACTAAGATGAAGCCGTGATGATTTTCCTCATCTTCTTTGATCATTCCTTTATAAAAATTCTCCAGTTTAGACTGCTATGAAAACTACAGCATAGATAACATTATATATCTTGCCCTACTTATACTCTTGCTAGTTTCTCTTCATATGGCCTATTTTTAGTAGTTTTCTTTAATAAGTGTATGCTTTCCAGTTGGAACGACGATACTGTGAGCTCTAAAAAGTTCATTTTATGGCAAAATAAGTTTGACGAGTTTTTATGCGTCATTATCATCGCTGGGCGCATATAGTGCACTGGTTAGAGGCGTCTTGCAATACACATGGGCTCCGTACCGCGCACCACTCTCACTAAGCTTTTTATTCTTTCGCCTTCGGCAAATTGGTACCACACCTGTCTGGGAGGAGAACAGCAGAACAGCACTGGTTCCATACATCAGTAGGCCATCAGCAGTCATTCTATAAGCCAGATATGCATTCAAAAACCTCCAGCGATGCCTAATAAAGTCGAATGCATGGCGCATCCCTTTGGGATTGATCAATGCCGAGAACGTTATCCTTTCTTTATTTTCACGACCGCTGGAGGTTTATGGGTTTCCACAGTGCTTTTTAATTGTGCTTCTGATCAGGAAAGGCATTTAACATAGAAAAGAACACGAAAGCAAAAGAAATATAACTGGAAATGGCCCAGTTGAGACTTGATGGTGATCATAATATCCGCAAAAAAAGTGCAAACCCGATCGAAAGGTACATTTGTAGTCGTGGTTATGGTTGTGATTTCGGTCCATACTTCCATCTTAAGCAGTAATTATATTAAAGACCAGATCATAGTTCTCGGCTTTAAAAATGACATTAGAAAAACGAAAATTAGAAAAAGCCCCCTGAAATACCATGTAGACACCACATTAAACGAAATTCAACGATGTTAGCATAGGACTAGAGTGGAATCCTAACAAAACCGGATTATTTCCGAAACCTTTTCAAGGACTTCACTAGAAATTGATGGCATGCAGACAAATCAACTCCAAATTTTAACTCTAACTCTTCAGCTCTTCAGCTCAACTTCAACCATTTTTAACTCCTTTTTACTTTTAACTTTTAACTTTTAACTTTTAACTTAACTTTTAATTAACTTTTAATTGTTTAAGGCATCCACTGCCATGAAAGATAGTGAACTTCAAAGGCAACAATGAAGTACCAGTCATCCATCACTGGTATGGATGAATAAATAATGATAAACAAAAAAGGAATAAATGAATTAAAAACGAACAATCAGTGGTAATAGACACAACAAATGGTGTTTGCAAACAGCCGAGAGGAACGCGGAACGAAGGACCAACATGGTGTGGTGGGAAAGCTATAGTCCACGAAATGGATAATAGGGCGTTCGTTCCCTACCACAGACACCTGCGGTCCGGAGTTTTGCAAATATCTCAGCCTCATTGTGGTTATATTTCACATCATGAAAAAGAATAGGCAGTAAATAAAAAGTGATTAGACAACAGATGGTGTTACTGAAAAGTATTTCGTGATTGAAATACCTACGCGAGTGAAACTTTAACATTAAAGAAAAACTACAGACATGCGAAAGACATCGAATAATTGAGGTAGTTTTCATGAATGGGAAAACCGATACTTCTTCCCAGCGAAACCAAATCGTCTCCCACAAGCAATCCTGACGCAGATCTTATCTGGTCATATCAGCTTTCTGCTGTCGTCACTGAGGCAGAGGGTGTAGGTGAATGTGAGTTACAGACGAAGTTTGGAAGGAAACGGTATTTATCGGTATACTTGCCTACTGGTGATTGTATGTAGAGCGGATTATTTACTCCGATGACGTAGTCGCCGAAAAACCACTTACACGAGTAATCCGGTGTTGACAACTAATTCGTCCATTACTCATGCTGACTGATCCCTTACTATATCCATTGATTACAAACCCTGATTGCACACTGAGTTTGCAGATTTGTTTTATTCTCTTGCAAAAGTACTTACCTTCAGAATACTTTCCTCTTGTGGAGATTATGTGAGAAGAAGAAGAAGAAGAGTGCTCGATGAGGTCATAAATCGGGAAAACAATGAATTTAAAAAGTCACAGTAGATTAAAAACAATTATCAGAATGCTCCTGAAATTTTCATGTATGAACAAGGAAAGCCAGAATGAGCAAAAAAGAAAACGAAAGAGAAAAATGACGACTGCGAATTTGCAGTGGGCAAGAAGGTAACTGAGAAAGGAGTCTTCGGGCATTTATTCAATTCCGGTACTGTCGGTTCCGAAGCGAAGGAACGAATGACGATAAGGGATTGTGTGGACAAAGTTTTGCACATGATCATAAGCCTCATAAGCATTACCAATTTATCAGATGCATAACGCTGAGAGGTCTTTATGTCTATGAACCATTACGAAGGTTTACTAGAGTCTATCCTGATCACATATTTATGAGCGGCATGAACAAGATTAAAATAACTCATATGATGTTTGTACCGTACAGACATAGTAAAGTAATGATTGTCCAGAAGAATAGGCACAGTTTCCATGACTATTGTCAGTTTGCTTTACCCTTCTCCTTTAAGGTAGGTTTACCTTTAAGGTAGAGAATAAATGCTGATTATCCTGATTTTCTTGAATACTTGGATGTCCTGTCCTCACTGGTTGTGCGGGCCCCAGCATAACCTCCTTTTTTTCGGAGTTACTGGTTTAGCTACCGTGGTTCCTTGAAGGCTCGAAGTCAGCCTAGCCAAAGTCTGCGCCAGGTTGCCACAACCACAGGAAGTGGCCACCTTTGTGGAACAAGAGATTTGGAGACCCTACTTGGTGGATGAATCCCCTTATTGTATATCGCAGCCCTATACCCAGGAACACCTCCCAGCCACGATGAAGTAGTAAACCGGTGGAAGGTTATGATGTGATCTTCAATTGAACGAAATCACGTAAGGATACCACCATCATCTAATTCCCACCTATGTCGTAACCGTATTAGAGAACACGTTGCTATAATTAGTATCTTTAGGACGAACGCGGTTGAAGACGATTAAAAGTACAACCAAATACAATTAGGAATTAGTTGCTCCCCTGTGTTCATAGAACAGTATCGACCGAAAGGGCTACTGGGTACATTAGGCAAAATATTTTTGATGACGCATCTCGTGAAAACAGAAGTGGCTATAATCACAATCTTAACTCTTTTATTTACTGCCTTTTTCTTCTTAATGGCAGGTTATGTTGCGAAATATAACTCGTATGAAATGCTGAGATATTTGCAAAACTCCGGACCACAGATGCATGCAATGGAGGCCTCGTTATAATCACATGATTAACGGGGGGGGTATGTGTATAACGAGGCCTCAGCTTAACTGGGTTCAATGCCGATATTGGCTCCCCAGATCAATCCCGTTGACGGGTGATTGCTGATGGCAAAAAAGATCGATAGAACTAGCTGAGATACATGCAAAGCAAAGGACCCGGATGGTTTAGTGGTGAAGTGCGCTCCTCCCCGGTAAGGACAACAGCGCGTGTTCGTTCTCCATTGCATACATCTGCGGTCCGGAGTTTTGCAAATATCTCAGCATTTCATACGAGAAGTGGCTATATTTATTTATGTGATCTTATAAACTGATCTTCTTAAGCTGACGTGAGTTTGGTACAGATCTTCGTTGTCGTTGTTATTGATGTTATTGATCGATGGCTGACGTTTCGGCGACTTTGTCTTCCTCAGAGCCTGGACGTATTTAATTTAGAATGTTTTTATTATTCGGTGGAAAAGAAGGTTAAAGTATTAATGAAGACCAAACTTTCAAATAGACGCCATATTGAACAGAAAAGCCACTCACCGTGATGTTACGTGCGGGACTGGCCCACACGTAGTTCACGTGGGGTCGCGAGCAGGACACACTCCGGGGTCAAAATATCATTTTGAAATAGGGCGCCAGGTCACGCGTGATAATGAGGCATTCGTCCTTCCGGTTCATCTTTGGATTTTTGAAATTTATCCAAAACGCCTCAAGAGTTTCGCACGTTGATGTTTTTGATTCCTGCGCTAGGATCCGCACATTCACTTCAAAATCATCGCCGTTGTGCTTTTTTATTAAGTTATTAAGAGATGTTCCAGCAAAACATTTCCGACTTGTAAGAGACGTATTGTCATTAAGACAGAAAATCGTCTTAATGCGACAAAAGGCCTACTTTCTACGCCGCTGCTTAAAACATCGAATTATTCCTAACTTTATAAAACGTAGGAAATTACACGAAGTATGCGGCTTACCGGAGAGCTCTCGACAAATGCTGAGCACCGAAATAAAACTGTTGCGCATTTCATTGCGGTGCACACAAAACGAAATGTTTTCACTATTAAACAAATGTGTGTACAAAGAAAACCATTGTGCTCAGCATTTGGAGAGAAATCTTTGGAAGAGAATAGTAGCTGAGTCTAAATCGGTATGCGGAAAGATTCGGTGTGATATTAAGAGCAAGTTAAGAAAAAAGTTTGAGGATCTATCACGCCGCTCAAAAAGCTTAAATCATAGGACCACCGCTGGTCAAGTCCCAAGTAGAAACCCTGAAATAGACTGCGCACCAAGAACATCCAGAGCTACTGCGCTAGGAGGTATAATGCTTCCGGAAAATGTGCGTTCCTTGTTAGAATTGGGTGCG